CCGGTACCTCAAGTAGGGTAAGTACCTATTCCTCCCATGGGTTCAATTCTTGAGAGAGAGCCTGTAAAATGGTCACCATCTCCACGGAGGGCAGCAGGCGTACATCTTACCCAATCCTGACACAGGGAGGTAGTGAGACAGATAACAATGCTTTTATTAGGACGGTGAGCTGTGAACTCTGTCACTGATTAGATAGATAATTCAAGTTTCTGAGATTAAAGTATGATTGATTGGATTGGATTGCACTGATGATGAACATAACCCATTAAAATCAAGTGCAATCCAACTTTAAACTGACTGTCAACTATTTGACAATCTATATCAATATTTTTGACAATTATGATGCAATATATGATGTAATGAAATTCCTACATAGTTGATATTCAAACATTTCTTGTGATAACTACCTTCAGTGTGCAATGTGATTGTTTGTTTTTGGAAACTATGCTTGGGATTTCTGTGGACGCTTGTTTTGTACTTAGTTACTGAAGAGTTCCAAAGTATTTTTTGGATTTTTCAATTGGAGGTGTTATTTGTTGTAAAGTTTTGAAGTTTCGAACCTTGGTTTGTTATCGTAACAATTGACTTACGGATTGATGAAAACTGTTTTGAAAATGCAGACTGTCTTCACCATTCAGTAAGATCGTTGGAAAGATCTGAAATAGGTTTTTACTCAAGTTTTCTGAAATTGGACATACAGTTTCTAATTATGTACAAAAGAATAAATGAGGCTCTGTCATTTTACATGTATCAAAATGCCAACTGTATTCAAATGCCAACTGAAATTCAAAGGCCAGCTGTATTCAAATGCCAACTAAATTCAAATGCCAACTGTATTCAAATTCCAACTAAATATAAATGCCAACTGAGTCCAAATGCCAGCTGAATCCAAATGTCAACTGTATTCAAATGCCAACTAAATTCAAATACTGACTTTATTCATATGCCAACTAAATATAAATGCCAACTGAAACCAAATGTCAACTGTATTCAAATGCCAACTAAATTCAAATGCTAACAAAATATAAATTTCAACTGAATATAAATGCCAACTAGTTCAGAAGTGATGGTGACATAAAATGCCAACATTATTTAAATGTCAATTGAATTCCAAATGCCAACTTGATTCAAATGTCAACGCTTGTCAAATGCCAACTAGTTCAGAAGTGATGGTGACATAAAATGCCAACATTATTTAAATGTTAAATGAATTCCAAATGCCAACTGAATTCAAATGTCAACGCTTGTCAAATGCCAGTGACAACAATCTAGATCTTCACACTAATCTATCTTAACTGGCACGGAAAACAAATAGACACAGCTAGTTCAGAAGTGATGGTGCTATACTCCAATATTGATCCGTCTAAAATCAAACCTTGAAGTTAAAATTTCTACCAGTTCTGCTTGCTCCTGGGAATAACCATATTGGAGAAAATTGGAAAATGGCTTCTTGGCAAGTTTGCTGATTTTGGCGTAAAATTAGATTAATGTTACGTTATTTGATAATCATGATGTGTTCTAGATGGATATTTATGCTTTCTGTCGTGTAAAATTAGGATTTGGAATGTCAAATTCAGAGATTTCTGCCATTTTTTGGAAGTGTTTCTGATAAAATATGAATGTGAATTGATTCTTAAAGTGTAAATGAAACACAAATTAAATTGAAGATGTTTGCAGTTCGAATTTGAGGAAATTTTTTGGGGAATGCCAAAAAAATGTTGCTAGCCATGGAGACTTTCTAAGAGTGATTATAGGTTGAGATACCCAATTGTACAGTGACTTCAGGTGTTTGACTAACATAAGCCAATAAACGCTCAGCGATGTGGAAACAGAGCTATAAAGTCAAGTTGAGAAACCCAATTGGAGAGTGGCATTGTGTTCGGTTGGTTGGTAGATAACAAGTGAATTTCTTACCTAGACAGAACTAATTTATTATAAATATGGTAAGAATCCGGGCTTTTTTGACAATTTTGACTTGAGAATTATGTCAACAAAATTTAATCTTCAATATTTCTACCATTAGGCACTTTACCCCCACTCCTGCCAATGGTGGCACCCCGTAGAAAACCGTGTGTATCCCTCAAAATAGGATTATTTTATGTTTTTACCCTAAAATGTCTTCTAGTGTACCAAATTAATTTTATTTTTCCAATGTTTTTTTAGGAGAACATCCTCAATCCCTTCACGATGGGCTTGCCCCTCCCCACCCCGAATTTGCACCTGCATCTCTTGGTGGCTGGCGCCATCAACAACCCAATCATAAGATATGGTATTGTTCCAATGACCTAGTTGTTCCTTCAATTGTCTGAGACATTCCAAGTGTAGGTGTTCCAGTATTGATCTAGATGTCTCCAATATTATCATACGATAAAATGTCATCTCATTTGCATATCATAGATTGACAGGAGTGTTGTGTTGGTTGTATTTGCCAGTCATGTTTGACTATTAACCTAGATGTCTCCAATTTATCATATGGATGAGAACTGTAATGTTATCTCATTAAAAGATAAATTTGCAGGAGTGTTGTGTTGGTTGTACATGCCGGTCATGTCTGATTACTGGTCGCAATGTGTCTAATATTATCATGCAGTTAGGATGTTAATGTCATCTATATTATTCTGTATGACAT